ATTAACACTGCATCCTTTTCTTAAATACAAGTTGCTGCATTTAGTAAAAATGTTGACATATATAGCTTCTCATTTCCACCCTCATGCCTAATCTTTACATTGCTTTTTAAGAAAGGAATAAGAAACAGCAGGAAACTTCTTCATGGCTGATATTATTATATAATTATAATAACAAAGTAAGATGTTTTCTTATTCTTTCAGTTTTGATCAACACATATATATGTGTTGCTTAATTTGTCTACAACATGAACAAGTAGGATTGGAAATTAGACTTTGGAGGGTTCGATCGCCCTTTTGGACTAATTCCTCAATGAAAAGGTTGTCGTTTCTAAGCTAATAATCCTATATAGTGTGGTTGTTAAGGTGTTATTTGAAACCAAAGTTGAGGAACAGGGAATTCTAATGTAACAAGGCCAATAATACAAAGGCAATGAAAAAAAAAATTAAAACGATCTGATAATTAATTAAAAATAACATAAATAATATAATAAAAAAATTTTAATATTTTGAATAAATAAATAACAATAAAAATTTATTAAAGATATTTAATTAAATAATTTTATAGACAATTATAACATTTAAAATACTAAAATATCTTATATCAGTGATTTTCATTACAATTAATGATTAAGTTTGACTTAAAATCATCACCTACCAATGTCCCATATACCTAACAGTATTTGCAAATATATTAGTTCCTAGAAGATTCCGGTCCAATTCAAGGAATAAACAAATTTGACTTGAATCATCATCTACCATTGATTAATGTCATATGAATTATGTTGGCCGAAATGGATCCTACCTACAATTTATTCTTGGAGATAAAGTAGTACTAAGTACTCTTTCCACTTCATGAGGAACAAATTGAGGCACTTAATTTTGCTCTGTCGTCGTCTCACAATTTTTATGGCAATTTTGTTTATTTTATACAGTAGTTGGTTTTGGTTAGTTGATTAATGGTAGTAATCCATTTTTACATTACATAATGTACGAGTGAAAGCATAATTTTATGATATTGTAGCTTTATACCTGCCTGCCAATCACGGAAATAATTTTATGATATTATTTTTGCTGTTCAAAAAAAAAATAAAAAATAAAAAATAAAAAAAACCTGCCTGCCAATCACGGAAATTGTAACTTGCAGTCTCTATAAGGAAGAACTTTTTTAAAGCATGAATCACGCAGATGCTAAGTACTAGTAGTAGGAGTTATGTTTGTGAAGTGGCTGCAACTTCACCCAGATAGCTTTCTTAAATACAAGTTCCTTAATTAGAGACCGCATTATTGGAAGAAAGTTGGCATAGCGTCCTCACTTCCATCACACAGATAGTACTAGTTGCTTGGCTCTTTGAAAAGATTTGAAACTCTGACCTCAACCTCAAATTTCTCTCTCCTTTTTTTTTTTTTGGTAGTTTTTTTTCTTTAGTTTCCTTTATTAATAATAATTTAATAGTAATCCATTATTCCATTGTCACATTACATGTAGCAATAATGAAGAAATGAATCCTTAATAATAACTGAAAGGAATTCCTTAATAGTACTTCGAAGTACTGTCAGTAATTTATTGCACCCTTTCATCTTCTTCCAGCTTTCTAATAGTCACTGTAATTGTACATGAACCAAGACGAGAGCCACTACTTGAATGAAACCTAATAAGAGACCTTTCAAAGAAGCATTAATTGAAATCTCTAATGGTGATGAGTTTTTCAAGACATGATTCAAGATAACTATAGCTAGCCTATAGGAGTTGGTGAGGACTCCGAATAGATCAGAACTTCAATACATAATAGAGTATATATTTTGCGTAAATGAAGGAAAGTATAGCATGTGCAGTATGGAAGAGGATAATACACTAGGAAACAAACAAGAGAAATGGATTAAGCGCTACAGCAGTAGTCACAAAATTCTTCTTGTGGGAGAAGGAGATTTCTCCTTTTCTTCATGCTTAGCAAATGCTTTTGGCTATGCAACCAACATGGTTGCTACTTCTCGGGACCCTAGAGGTAACAGAAGAATCCCAATTCCCTCTTTATTAATAGCATTAGATGTGTATTGGATAAGTAGTGTAATTGAACCTGAAAATGACAGAGGAGTTGCTGAGCAAGTACACACGAGCAGAGGAAAATCTCAAAGATTTGGAGGATTTGGGATGCAACATTTTGCATGGAATAGATGCTCACACAATGAGTGAACATGCTTTCCTCAAACTGAAAGTGTTTGACAGGATAGTTTTTAATTTTCCACATTCTGGTTTCAATACTGTTTTCCGTGAACATGACTCGTGGCTGATTAGGTAAGTTTCAAGTGAAACTGTCTCGGCTTGCTAGCTGGCTATAAGTAATTTTACTTGTATATTTAGTTGATGGCATATATAATGTTGTAGCTAATCAATCTCTTGCTAATGCTAACCAGGCGCCACCAGGACTTGGTAAGGGGCTTCTTAAGGAGTGCAAAGAACATGCTTGCAGAAAATGGTGAGGTGCACATAACTCATAAGACCGCTTACCCATTTAGTAAGTGGGAGATAGAGGAGTTGGCGGAGAAGGAGGGTTTGTCCTTGGTTGAGAAAGAAGCATTTTATCGATCGGACTACCCAGGGTATGAAAATAAGAGAGGGGATGGAATGTCATGTGATCTAGCATTCCCTGTTGGACAAAGCAGCACACTCAAGTTTAACAAGGCATCAGAGAAGCTGATCGAAAAAAAAAAAAAAAAACAAGGCATCAGAGAAAGTGTAGCTAGATAGACCATTCTAATTTGTCTGAAACTCCACGATGCTTAATTGGAATATAGAGAGACTTGCGTTTGCTTTAATGTTAACTTATCTACTATTAAGAAGAATAAGGAACGTTGTTAGGACTCAAGAAACAGAAGCAAATTTATATTGCCCAGTAAATTACTATATATCTTGTTTCAATGTGGCAAAATTAATTAGAATCAAAATTTCCCCTTATAAAACATGTCTTGATCAGGCCTTATGGAATACTAAGTTTCATTTTTTTTTCTAAAGACTGCATTTTCAAACTACAAGAACAACTGATATTCCCTACTATATTATGCCAGTCCAAGGCTCAAGGCTATGCAATAAGAATGCTGCATCTGCAGATGGCAATCAGAATTAAAACCTGACCTTTTACTTTCTGGAAGACAATATAAGTTGTCTTTGGCCAACCAAGTTAAATACTACATATTTCCATATCCTAGTGATAATGATGAAAAAGTGAATGCAATTCTCTGATAACAATAAAGGAAAGCAGTAGTAGCATTGTCATGAATCGTATCCTTTCATCTTCTTCAAGCCTTCCAATTAATCACTGCAAATGTACATGAACAACAAGGTTCAGTCCCCCAAAAAGGCATTGATTGATTGATTGGCAATATTCACGGATAACTAGGAGACGGTGGGGATTCTAATTTTTTCAAGATCAAAACTTTTTAATTCTCAGTCCCTGTGTGTGTATATATATATAGTATGCAATGCATTGCAGAAGAGAAGGACCGAGAAAGAAGCTGCAACATGGGAAAGAAAAGGTCAAAAATGTACACTAGCAATCACAATATTCTGCTGGTGGGAGAGGGAGATTTCTCCTTTTCTTTATCTTTAGCCACAAGATTTGGTTCTGCATCCAACATTGTTGCTACTTCCCTGGATTCAAGAGGTAATTCCCACATTTTGTATGTTCATATTGAGAAATTGTTGTAATTGAATTAGTTAGATATCTTTTAACCTCTGAAATTAAACGCAGAGGAGTTGGTGAGGAAGTATTCAAAAGCTGAGGAAAACCTGAATGCTCTGGAAAATCTAGGCTGCAAAATTTTGCATGGAATAGATGTTCATACAATGAGCAAACGTGCTTGCCTCAAACGAAAACTGTTTGATCGGATAGTCTTTAACTTTCCTCATGCTGGTTTCTTTTACCGCGAACATGACAATAGGCAAATCAGGTTAATTAATTTGTTATTTTGTTCAACTAGAACAACA